AAACCAGTGTCTAATGAAAAACGCAGATTTCTACATGGTCAATTTCATATCACACACTGTTGACCCAAGGCGAGAAAGTAGGTCATTGTCGTTCCTTATTTCTTATTTATTCCCTGGCACAATTGGACCATACTACAAGTTTCATTTATCAGACGACAAAATGAAATCATGAGGCCCTTCAGAGCTACTGTCGGTACATGCAACTCAAGACAGCGAGCAGCATCATAACCATTGTCAACAGGCAAACTCCAACAACGTTTGGGTCTGGATTTGGTTTTATGCTGAGGGAAGCAGATTTCCTCTGATTTTAATAATTCATAAGAAACAGAAATCACAATATATTAACTCTGTATCACCTACAAAGAGTCAAAAGAAGCAAAAGTTCTCCCCGATTCATCCTCTTGTTCCACAGACATTTTGAAAATAAAGGAAGAGAAAATAGGAAAGGGTATGAGAAAGAACACAGAAATGACTTGAATGATTTCAAATCCTTATTAAACATCACTGAGATTGCATTTTACCCATTAGGCTGACTGAATTTAGTTCTCACCACACAGACCTTGCAAAGAAACTGGGAGTACATGGTTTTGCTTTGCAGGGTTGATCTAGAACAGTAAAGGTGGATGTGAATGTGTGTATGCATGAGTGTGTGCTTTAAGTCCATTTTATAAACACTGACACAGGACAATTCTCATCATTGGTAATAGTCTTTGGAGTCCAATCATGCAGAAAAACAGGCAAGTGCAAGTTAGGTCTCATTGCAAGATGGACATGGCAAGGTGAACAGATAATCCTAGATAAGGATTGGGAGATTTATGTCCATTAGAGTATACTGGCCATTGGTCCCACATAAGTAAAGTTACATATACAGGATTCTATATATAAACAGAGGCCCCTCACTTAAGTTTGGCTGATCAAAGAAACAGGTCAAAGTGAACCATTTTCAGATAGTTAAAGGTCTAAGCGCCAAAAGAAATAACAAAATCTTATCCTCTAATCACAAAGAAAATAGCTAATGTAAGTATGTACATAGTAACTTTTTTGTTGTTTTTACAGAAAGGAGTTTCCTTGCTTGGTTTAATGATATCTGTAGAAAATGTTAGACTCCTGTAATTAAAATGTGTGTAGGGGATTGTGAGTGGGGAGTCGGGTTCCTCTTTGGACCCAAAGTGGCTGGGATCAAAAATTTCTAGAGCAATTTTACTTCTTTTTCTGAGCTGTAGAAGACACGTTTTTCAGCAAAGCTGGCTAATAACATGCCTTACAGAGCATAATGAGCATAATGCACTTAAGATGTGGCTTTTCGTATGTTAAGGGATTCAAATCGAGATAGATTTTGTATGGTTTAGGTTTTGCAATGAATATTTGAAATTCAAAAAAGTCAGGTTTCCTTGTGTGTGTGTTTTTTTTTCCTTGACAGAACATAAAGATTTTTTGAATTTTTACCTATTTTTTTTTTTTACTAGTTCCATTTGCTAAGGCCAACTTTCTGTTTTACCAGTCAGCCGCTATCAGTGTCTTTAGATAATATTTTTCTGATAACAGATTGAAAACACTATCAAGCTTCTTGGCCCTCAGTTAAATAGCTTACTCCAGTTGGTGGGAGCTGACCAGGCTCTGGTCCAACTGTGGGGGTACATTCCTACAAAGCTCAGTCATCAGATTCTTGAAGATGAATGATTATTATCAGTTTTTATTCCACAAGAAGAAATTCTGTTGTAAGGCTAGTGTATTCCTATTTAAAATTGAACACGCTGACCCACAAAACACATATAAAAATAGTAAAGACACACTAATAGTAAAGTGATGGTGGTTTTTCCAAACTCTCACAGCAGTTTAATTCTCCCTGCACATGAGTACACAGCCATCCTTCCTACAAAATACTGCGAAAGATTTTATTAAGGATCTCTGCAAACCAGCTGCCCTATAGGAAGTGACAGAAGATAAGGCTCCTCAGAGTGCCAATTTCAACTTCCAAAATGAGCCCCAGTCCCGGGTAGAGCCTTCATTTTTTTCAGGAATATTGTCCAGGTGACTTGACACTTGTCTACCTGAAAAGTTAGGACATTCCTGGGAAGTGACTAAGAAATATTTGCGGGGTGTGTGTGTGTGTGTGTGTGTGTGTGTGTGTGTGTGTAAGACAAATGAAGGCAAAACATACTATATTCTGTGAATTTTATAATATTCATCACCTCCTAGAGATATTATAAGAAAGCAGACCTAGCGGGTAAAGGACTGGGGGGCTTTTACAGTGGTGATTCGCTTTGTTGCTCCATCATCTACCTTTCTTTGATCACCTAATAAAATTGATCCTGCAAAAATTCTGGGGGCTAAATCCTTACCTCCATTTGTAAATGATACTTAAATTCGAGGGATTTGTTCCATTTTTCTCTTGTCCATAAGGGAAATCTGGCTAAAGCTAACCAGCTCCCAAGAGCCATGCACAGAAGATGTAAGACTAATTGAGCTTTGGGACGGTGTTAATAGTGGCGGAGGGGCTCTGTCTAGCTCTTGCCTGGTTTAATTTGAGGGGGAAAAACATTACCACTTCTGCAGATATGAGAGATAGCCTGTCAAGCCCTTTAAAGATGCCAAATAGAGACTTCCTTCTGCCTTGTGATGTCATCTCGGGGCCAATAAAATTCCCCTGAGACTCTCTTTAAAGCAGCTCCCTGCTCTCTGCACTTAATCCCATGTGGTATAAAGCAAGTGAGGGGAGAGGCCACAGATGTATCAAGAGAAAAGTACAGAGAAAGAAAAATCAGTAAAGAATTAGAGATATAGAGAGGGGAAGTTTTTTTTTTTTTAAAAAAAAAAAAAAACAGGCATATGACTGAAAGATAATAGAGGGAGCTCATGTGACTGAGGAGGTATTTTTAACAATCAGTTGTCAACAATATTAACCAAAAAATAAATGATAGCAAAATAGAGAGAATGGGTCATTTTTATTACAGGGGACAAGCTGCACAAAGGAATGTTCTTCTCTTTATTTTAGACAAAGGATCATGTGTACTGAATCCGACTGTGTGAAGCAATCTCGGAATGGCAGCACCACGGGCATGGTGATGGTGCAGGTGGGTGCACTTCCCTGTGGACTCTATTGCTTGAAGAGAGAAAGAAACTTCCCTATTATTGTATTTAAGGCAGTTTTCAGAGCACTGGCATTCTTGTTTGCTCTGTTTCGGGGGTGGGGGGGATTCTATTTTCCAATCAGTTCACACTCATCAACCATATATTTTCTGTCTTTCACTTCTTCAGGTGAAATATCACCACCTTGGTGAGCACCAACATGGCCAGAGTGCAAATAACTGTGATGGATACTTCAAAGTGAATAAGAAGGGAAGCCTGAACTGATTATTGCTGAGATCACCTTGGTATTGCCTTGTATATAACCAAGATGTTTCACAGTGCCTCCTTAAGTGCTCAGGAAAGCACTTTCTTTTAAGTTAAGCTAAATTCAGGAAATTTTGCTAAACGTTGACATTAATGCTTCATGGCTTTTAAGACGAACTAATATTGCTAAAACTATTTGGCAGCAGTAAATTTATGGGCAGAGTTATTGCTCTTACGTCTACTGCATTACAAAACTCAGATGATCAGCCCTTCTTCGATTGCTCATACTTAAGAAAATAAATAAATAAACATGAAACATCAGCCACATTAAGGAGTCGGGGAAACTCCTGCAGAATAATATCATCTCTGGAGATGTTTTCAAATGCTAACCTGAGACTCACACTGTGCTTTGGGGGTTTTACTCTTATTGATTATTTTATTCCAGAAGAGGAAAGTAATATTATTTCTCAAAATAAAACTTTGGTGGGGTATGAACCAGGGAAGCAGCCCACACATGGAAAACGCACCCTACAATCTGAAAGTAGTCTAGGCAGGCTCAATTTTTTTGTTGTTGTTGAAGGAATTCACACGGAGGCAATTCCGCTCAATTCCAAGGAGAGATTCTTACCATCAAAAGCACACACAATAACCTTGCCTCACCACCTGCCACTTTCTCCAGTGGCCTCTTCTTGTGACCAATAATTGAGAAATGACAAATGGGAATAGGGACAAATCTCTAAAATAGGGCCACCAGTGTCTCCTAGAATCTGAGTAATGACCTCCTCTAGGTCTCAGTCCACACCACCACCCTATTCTCCAGTCTCTCCTATGCTTCACTGCCACAGAAAAGACTCTCAGCTTTTAGTCACACCTGCCTTCTAAAGGCCAAACCGTTTTGTGCCTGAAAACTGTTACCCGCTCCCCCCACACTTTACATAAGCATCACATATGTTCTTTCTACAAATTGGTATACAGGTGCCATTTAATCCGTTCAAATTTGGAAGCTACAGCTTCAAGGGTCTGAGAGAGCTCACTCCCCCCATATATTCCCCCTTTACATGTTTTCTTATGAGACATACAGTTTAATCAATTAACAAACTAAACAGCTTATATACTGGCAATATATTACACATGGGTTTATGTCAGAGTAATAGATCACAGGAAATGGACCGTGTGGTACCCCAGTACATGATGTCTTGATAGAGCCCTGAGGACACTGACAGTAGCATCTCTAAGTAAGTAGTGCTGTATGAATACAGACACATGCGGATCTGTATCTACATCCATCTGACTAGGCCAAGGAGCAGGTAGATGCAAGATAGAGACACACACATGCTGGATGGGGCCACTGCACACCTTGTCATGCCATTTAAAAGGGCAGTTACAGGTCGCTGGTTTTGCAGCCATTAAAATTACACTTTATGGAAAAGGCTTTTCTAATTGTGTCTGATTTGCTCTCTGTAGTAAGCATCATTGGAAGAAGACCAAAGCAAGAGCAACTAGAAGTTAAATATACATTTGAGCTTAGCTGCAATACAGAACTCTGGGGAAGAAGCAGGCTGAAAGATTTATTTAATTTTAGGCTTGGATTCTCTGCCTTGCTGTTTTCTTGATGTTGTGTGTCTGCATTTGTGTGTGTGCGTGAGTGCGTGCATGCATGTGTGTGTGTGTGTGTGTGTGTGTGTGTGTGTGTGTGTGTGTTTGTGTGTGTTCCATCATATCATCTCCTGAAGAACGCTGGGTTTCGCAGGCAGGCGGCTAGTCACCTGCAACAACCCAGGGGTCCTGCCGAGGCTTCCAGGCTGCTGTCAGTGTCAGATGCCAGGGTCTGGTCGGTGGACATGGAGGAGATGTCATTGACAGACGAGGATGGAGGGAGACTCTCACTGCTGTTCACTGCTGCACCTGTGCTAAGAAAATGAAGACCAACATGACTAAATCTAGAACCAGACCCATCTAATGCCATTCAGGAATCAGGGATGAGCAAATACAACAGGGGATGTCTAGTCCATCAATCATTTGGCAAGCCTTTATAGAACAGCTACGCACAGGGGACTATATTAAATGGTGACCATCAAGACATAGCAATAGAAATTCACTTGTCGGGGCTGATATCCAGAATTTACAAAGAACTAAAGCAGATCTACAAGAAAAAAAACAAACAAGCCCATTCAAAAATGGGCGAAGGATATGAACAGATACTTTACAAAAGAAGACATACAGGAGGCCAACAAACATATGAAAAAATGCTCATCATCACTGGTCATCAGAGAAATGCAAATCAAAACCACATTGAGATACCATCTCACACCAGTTAGAATGGTGATCATTAAAAAATCGGGAAACAACAGATGCTGGAGAGGATGTGGAGAAATAGGAACACTTTTACACTGTTGGTGGGAATGTAAATTAATTCAACCATTGTGGAAGACAGTGTGGCGATTCCTCAAGGACCTAAAAATAGAAATCCCATTTGACCCAGCAATCCCATTACTGGGTATATATCCAAAGGATTATAAATCATTCTACTACAAGGACACGTGCACACGAATGTTCATTGCAGCACTGTTTACAATAGCAAAGACCTGGAACCAACCCAAATGCCCAACGATGATAGACTGGATAGGGAAAATGTGGTACATATACACCATGGAATATTACGCAGCCATCAAAAACGATGAGTTCACGTCCTTTGTAGGGACATGGATGAACCTGGAAACCATCATTCTCAGCAAACTGACACAAGAGCAGAAAATCAAACACCGTATATTCTCACTCATATGTGGGTGTTGAACAATGAGAACACATGGACACAGGGAGGGGAGCACTACACACTGGGGTCCGTTGGGGGGAAGTGGGGGAGGGGCGGGGGGTGGGGAGGTGGGAAGAGATAGCATGGGGAGAAATGACAGATACAGGTGAGGGGACGGAAGGCAGCAAACCACACTGCCAAGTGTGTACCTATGCAACAATCTTGCATGTTCATCACATGTACCCCAAAACCTAAAATGCAATAAAAAAAAAATAAAAATAAAATAAAAAAATAAATAAATAAAAGAAATTCACTTGTCACAAGTTATTCACAGACTAGTGCAGTGGTTATCAAATCTCACTTTATGTTTGAAATCATAACACTGTAACACTTTCAATTTAAAAAAAAAAAACACTAATACCTGGTCACACTGCCTCCCCTGCCCCCATGCATTGCATACATTTTAATGTAATTGGCCTTGCGTGAGGCCAAGGCATTTGCATTTATCAAAAACTCCTCAGAGACTGTGCATTCAGTTAAAGATTACCCCTGGCTTATGGAGGAGACAAATACGTAAAACTTCTTAATCAGCCATCTGAGCCTGTTTTTTATTGTTGTTGTTTGTTTTGTTTTTGTTTTTTGTTGTTGTTGTTGTTTGAGATGAAGTCTCACTACGTCACCCAGTCTGGAGTGACATGGTGCAATCTTGGCTCACTGCAGCTTCTGCATTCCTGGTTCAAGCAATTCTCCTGCCTCGGCCTCCCAAGTAGCTGGGACTACAAGCACTTGCAACCACGCCTGGCTAATTTTGTTGTTGTTGTTGTTGTTGTTGTTGTATTTTTAGCAGAGAAGGGGTTTCACTATGTTGGCCAGGATGGTCTCAAACTCCTGATCTCATGATCCACCCGCCTTGGCCTCCCAAAGTGCTGGGATTACAACTGTGAGCAACTGTGCCTGGCCTTGAGCCTGATTATTTTTAATGCAGGGAGCTTTTAAAACAAACATCTGCAAAGATCGTATCACAGTAATAGGAGCTGAAGTGGAGTTTGGAAATCTGAATTACTTGGGGACCACATCTCTAGAGAAAGAAAGGTATATAAAGTAAATAATATTGTGTCATCATTAATGACATCAAACTTAAAATGAATATAGAAAAGCCAGTAGGGCATAAGTAGGACTGTTGATGAATGTTAAAAAAAAAAAAAAAAAAGGAGAAGGCTGAGTACACCTTTTGCTTATGAGCTTACTCTCCAGCAGGCTTGCTTACCTGAGATCTCCAAATAAGAACTCTGAATGATTAGCTTAGATTAATTTGAAAAATATTATTTATCTGTTATGTTGGAATACAAGGTTGAAACTCTGAGAAGAAACTTGCCCATGGTAAATCACTCAGTAAAGCTTGCTGAGTTGCCAGCTTTGAGATCAACAGAAGAAAGATGAACCAAAGGCATTGGGCAATATAATTAAACCAGAGTGCTATGGAAACAATCCATTTACATTTTTTCTTTGTGTATTCTTTATACCTAAGCAATCTGAGTGGTAACGTGCTTGCTTTGTGAAATAGCTGGCTATTAAAAATCTGTAGTATAATCCCCTAATAAAATAAGAGATGAGGAATTCTCACCAAAAGTATATTTTATTTGAGCAAATACAGTGTGCAAGACCTATTTGGTGAAAAATATAAATCCAAAGGCAATTATAATAGTGTTATCACATAGGCCTAATAAATCAGAAAGACAAAAAGAAACTAAATTAAGGAAGGGGAGGGGTTAACACAATCTTCTTTGTTCCTGAAGTAGACATTTCTTGCCTGTGAAAAACATGTGATGAAAATGTATTAGTTATCTAGAGAGGACACAAACACCAGAACTAACACAGATCACTTGTATCCTCCTTTTTTTGTTGTTGTTTTTTGTTTTGTTTTGTTTTGTTTTGTTTTGTTTTTTTGAGGCGGAGTTTCGCTCTTGTTACCCAGGCTGGAGTGCAATGGCGCGATCTCGGCTCACCTCAACCTCCGCCTCCTGGGTTCAGGCGATTCTCCTGCCTCAGCCTCCCGAGTAGCTGGGATTACAGGCACGCGCCACCATGCCCAGCTAATTTTTTGTATTTTTAGTAGAGACGGGGTTTCACCATGTTGACCAGGTTGGTCTCGATCTCTCGACCTCGTGATCCACCCGCCTCAGCCTCCCAAAGTGCTGGGATTACAGGCTTGAGCCACCGCGCCTGGCCTCCTCCATGTTTTTAAGTTGTTTGTTGACTAGTAATATGTTGATGTATTCTATAGGAAATGTGAAAAAATATAGGAAAAAGATAATGATATTCAGTGATCTTCAAATTAATGGTAAGAACTGTTAAACTTTTCATGTATTTCTTCCTGGCCATTTGTTTTGCTTGGCAATTTCCTGTGTTATGATCACTTAACATGTATTTTTGTTTTTGATCCTGATATTTTTATATACAGAAAATCTCAAGAATTTTTTATGTTCTTTAAACTCCTAAAAATACCCATCCTTTCTAATCTTAAATGTCTCTAGAAAAGATTTTTCAAGTCCTCTTGTTATTGTCTTCTTGTAAATAATTACTCTATCAGAACAATGTGTAAAGTTATAATATTCCATAATATTCTGATTTTGAATGGCTTCTATTTATTCCAACTTTATTATATCCCCTATAGCTATGGTACAGAGCTGGTTCATTTCCCTTCCTAATGAGATTTTATCTCCTAGCAGACAGCCCTTGGTTCCCTTACGCTGCCCAAATGCCCTGCTCTGTTTTTCCTCCCGATTCTGGATTAAATTATACCAACATCCTTCATATTTTTTCACAAGTTGCTAATAATTTAGTGTCATTATGATGAACTCCTCCGAATTCTCTTCTGTTTTCCCACACCCTTAATAAAAAGTAGAGATTAAAACTGGACACAGGACTCTATTATAAAGGCCTGATCAATTGTGAGCCAGCAGAGGGAAATTGCTTTTTTCCTACTATTTGTCTCCCGGATAATATATTCCTAGACTATGGATGCCTTTCAAATCATGGTGCTACAGCTTAATTTAGTTTTGACTTTAGGTATCAAATGATGTTCATATATCTTTTTGTAACAGCTTTATTAAGATATAATCCACATATATAATTAAGAAATTTAATTTTTATGATTCAGTATTTTTTAGTATATGCACATCACTGTGCAGTCATCACCACAATCCATTTTGCAGCAGTTCATCATCCCTAAAGAAAATTCTGCACTCCATTCCTCAGCCACCCTCTAGCTCTAGGCAATGACTAATCTACCTTTTGCCTCTAAAATTGCCTGTTCTGAACATTTCATGTAAATGGAAGCATACCATATGTGATCATTTATGACTGGCCGCTTTCATATAACATAATTTTTTTAAGGTTTATCCATGCTGTGACATGTATCTGTATTTCATATCTTTGTATGGCCACATAATATTCCACTGTATGGAAACATCACATTTTGTTTATTTATTAGTTGGTAGGCAATTGATGGATGTTTAGGTTGTCTCAAGTTTTTGGCTCTTATGAATAATGCTGTTATGAATATTCATGTACGAGTTTTGTATGAACATGTGTTAATTTCTCTTGGATATATACCTGGAAATGAAATTGCAAGAGCCTGGAGTAATTCTAAGTTTAAAAACATCTGAAAAACTGATAAACTGTTTTCTAAAGTGGGTGCACCAGTTTACATTACTACCAGCAATGTATGAGGATTCCAATTTCTCTACATCTTACCAATACTTATTATCTTTTTATCTAGCTAGCCAACCTAGAGTGCATGAAATGGTATCTCGTTGTGGTTTGACTTGCATTGCCTGATGGCTAATGATGTTGAGTATATTTCCACGTGCTTGTCAGCCATTAGTATATCTTCTTTGGAGAAAGTTTACTTGGCTCCTTTGGCCATTTTTTAATTGCCTTATTTTCGTTTTATTATTGAGTTGTAAGCTGCTTCTTCTTTTTTTTTTTTTTAAAGACAAGGTTTCACTCAGTCACCCAGCCTGGAGCACAGTGGCATGGTTATGGTTCACTGTACCTTCTAGCCTCTAACTCCAGGGCTCAAGCAATTCTCCTGCCTCAGCCTCCCAAGTACCTGTAGTACTACCTGTAGAATGAGGACTACAGGCACACA